ATGTGCCAAAAACTGAGCATACGTCATTTAAAAATGGTTCCGTATCGGCCGCAATCAAATATAGCGGAACGGGTCAATAGAAATATAGTGAAAATTATCCGTAGTTATGTTAAAAAGTTTCATAAAAGCTGGGATAACTATGTCAATGAATTAGCTTTCGCCCTTAGGACCGCAAAACATGATACGACGGGCAAAACTCCTGCTGGGTTATTTTAAGGCAGAAAGATTATAACGCCGTTAGATAAATTATTTTATGTTCAACAAAGAGCCCCAGAATTTAAAATGGGCGATATGGAAAAATTAATTAAAGAAGCAAAAAAGAACTATCTGAAGTAGCACAAAGAAAACAGAAGCTCTATTATGATATGAAACGACGGGGAGTAACTTATAAAGTAGGGGATGAAGTGTTAAAAATTAAGCATTCACTTTCTTCAGCACCAGAAGATATCAACTGCCAAATTTTATCCACGATTTGAAGGACCATATGTCATAGAAAAAGTAACTCAGGCTGTAGTGGTGTTAAAAGCCAGGAATACTGAAACCTGCACTGCAAACGTTGACCAGATAAAACCATTTTATAATCGTAATAAAATGCCAATATTTCAAGATCTTTTGCAGGATCAGGCACGGCAGGCACAAGCTCCAGAGGTGGAACAACGACAATCACAAGGGCAAGCCATTAGTAGACAGGAGCAATTGAAAAGAAAGTTCCCCCGTTGGAAAACTGAAGGTAACAAGAAAAAGAAACCGTTCCACCGACCAGAAAAGAGAGGGCATGACCACCCCCAAAATGAAGGGAGAAGTACGACTAATGCAAAGAGGGCCAGGAGAAATGATAATTTTATTTAATAAATTCTGGCAAGAAAGAAGTTTTAGTCTGAAAGACTTTTGAAATGTAGTATTTCAAAGTAGAAGAGTTGGCACTTGCTTGGAAAAGAACAGAAGTTAACAATGTACTACTAATGTATGTTTTAAAATGCGTAAAATTAACGGCATGTTAATATGTCCTTATATACAATGTGAACTGTTATCTTTAAAGTTAAGAAATACTGTGATATGTTAAAAGTGAAAATATTAGAGTAATGCCAAAATTTTAACTTATTGGTATGTGACTGTAAAAAGAGCAAAGTATTGTGAATATGTGTTAAAGGTTGAATGAATGTAGTTAGGCTCTGTAGTTAGGCTGACGCTACACTTCAGAGTTAGCCACTTTTCAGAATATATTTATAATACTTATATTCATCTCAGGGTTCTAGAGATGAATATAAGGTGTGTTCTGAGGTCTTGTTATGTTGAAGTTTAACACGTTAGTATTTTGATTGCAGGCGGTAGTGTTGAACATTTGTACATAGACACGCTCGTGTTTGGTGTTTTTCTTCACAACACATGTCAGAGAGCACGGGGAGATAATTAAATAACGTCATGAATGAAATAAGAATGTTAAAAGAGAAATATAAGTATTCATGTTACTTGCCATTTAATTGTGTAACATTTCATTAAGCATCTGGAAGGAACCAGATTTCAACTAAGAAACTCCTGTTTAGATGCAGTACAGATGAAAAAATCTTGTCCATGGAGTTGATAATGTAAAAACGACTTTTTTAATTTCTAGTTTCTAGTGAGAAATGTTTGTAAAATATTGGCCTCGCGTTAGATTCTAGAGCTAAAAGTTTTCAACAAGGTCGTTTAGACCTCAGTTTCAAACTAATTAACTCTGGCGGGAAGTATGTAAGGATCCTAAGTTTTACTAACGTTTATTTTATTTTAAATCTTTACTATCACTTCTTATTTTCTACTTCCGGCCAGAATTAAAATCTTTAAATTATTTATGTAAATTTGTCTTGCTAACGCCAAGTACTTAAGTTGTGGCTTTTTGCCAAGCAAGAGAGAGGAAGGAGTTATTAGAAGCAAGCCGCTTGCCATAGTAGTTTTACTCGGTTGCTGGTTGCCTTCAAGGCCAGAGGTTTAGTCCTCTTGATAACTTCAAACGTATCGTAGTTTTAGCAGCTCTCTGTACTACATACAGATTTTGTTAAATAACGGCCAATCTTAAAGTTAGACACCTGTATATTAATTCAAAGTTAGTTTTAGTTAGAGTTTTAGTTAGTAGTTTTATATTCTTACGTTCAGACCACAAGTGGTTGGTCTCTGTATTCCGAAGTTCTGGAAATCTCTGTAAAGATAGAAAAATAAAGGGTTTCGTATACCCTTCCTGTGTGTATTGTCTACTGCACAATTTATTGAACATAGCTTGAGTAAGCTCCCTGTTCCGAGTCAGGACAGTTCATGTTTCCAAAGCAGGTAAAGAGGAACACAAGACCTGATAATATTGTTGCGTGCTTACGAATTCGTAATAGATTGAATGCACAGAGGTCCGATGATTGGTTGATCAAATTTATTTTGTCAAAAGACACACCTCCGAGTTCTGGAACTTTACACAGAAATAATTTTACAGGTGTTCGCAGTATCACAGAGTACAATCAGTAGTTATACTTCAAACACTCTGAAGTCGCTATTAACTAATAGCTCACAACAACAACAACAACAGAGAGCAGATGCTCTTTCGGGTCTCGTAATAGTTTTCATTCGGCCTCCGAGATATTTCTAGTACTTTCTGCTTCTCGAAATGACTGGAAGGAACATAAGGATCAAATACAGTTATATTTATACATGAAATCAATTGCATTTATTCAGTTACCATACTTATTACAGTGATACAGAACCCGGACCAAAATGTCACCAAACGGTCACCAAGTTTGGCAACTTTTGGCGATTTCTCTCCAAATTTGGAGACAAAAATTAGTCTTCAAAACCATTGCCAGCTTAGTGATATCTCCCCAAATTAGCGAGATAACGATTTACTCAATGTTAAATAGACTTGCCTCTGTATTCTTATTTTTCCGGCAAGCTTCGTTCCTTTAGATTTTCATGTTACACTGTACAAAAGAAATAGAACAGTTTCACATATAACTGCACTAAAAGCATCTATCTATGTATGAAATTTAGCAATATGTATCTTTCAGGCCTCTTATTCGACTTATTGTGGAAACAAGTTTAGACACAAAGAACATGAGCATTGCGCATTATAACATCATAAATTCTCTACTTCAATGGTTCCCTCAAAAAATGGGTCGTGATACAATATTTGCCTGGTCAAGAAGAGTTTTGAAATATTTTGTTTTATTATATAACTATGGCTATTTATATGAAATTATTCATTCATTTGTAGTTGTTAACTAATTATACACGATTAATTAGTCCATTTCTATAAGTATGCATATTCATTTCTTTCATTTCTTATCGCCATACCCGTGGCCGTGTAATTAAGAGAGCTGAATATTGGAGTTCTACCTGGGTTCGATCCCATTCGAATGCTCTGGCTTCATAGTTGGTTTCCACTTTTTCCCCATGGGAATGGGAGCCAGTATCAGTTAGAAAGTCCTCCACAAAGGTATCCTTTCCCTTAGGGAGATTACCTTCGTGAGTTTTGCCAATATTCAAATAATCTACTCGAATCTCAGTTTTCAATGGTTCCATGAAAAATGGGTCATGATAAATATTTGCCTGGTTAGGAAGAGTTTTGAAATATTTTATTTTATCATAAAACTATGAATATTTATTTGAAATCATTCATTCATTTGTAGTTGTTACTGATTATACATGATTGTTTAGTCCATTTATATAAGTATGCATATTTATTTCTTCCATTTCTTATCGGCATACCAGTGGCCGAGTAATTAAGACGACTGAATATTGGAAGTTTGACTTGGGTTCGATCCCAATCGAATGCTCTGTCTTCATGGTTGGTTTCCACTTTTTACCCATGGGAATGCGAGCCAGTGTCCGTTAGAAAGTCCTCCACAAAGGCATCCTTCCCCTTAGGGAGATTGCTTTCGTGAGTTTTGCCCATATTCAAATAAGCTACTCGTTTCTCAACTTTCTGCTTTTCTCTGTTATCCTTTTTCTATACGTACATGTGGGTCGCAAAAAGGATCGTTCATGTATGGATATGCATAAAACACTAAAAGTTTAGGAAACATTGATCTACCCAAATGTATTTAATGAAACCGGATCCTCAAACAATTGGTTATTCGGAGCCCATACATAGATACCGTTTGTGTTTCTAGGATTGTGTAAGGAGTTCGAATCCTTTTGAAGTCACTGCACATTTTTCAGATCTTCTACTCCGAAGCCAAATGCCTAATGGTGACGAAACATTTTTACGTTAATGCAGTTAAACATTTTTACGTCATATTCTTTACTTGTATTTGAAAATTAAGCATAGTTTCGGTTTGAATTCCACCAGACATTTTTAAGGTATTCGACTTTACGAAATTGCAACTAACCTCGAATAACAGAAAACAGAAATCATTAAGAAGTCTGTTAAAAATATCCATCCGTAAACATAAATAAAAGAAAATTTAAAAAGGGGCAGAAAGAATGCAATGAGTGAAAAACATGTTTCTTTATTTACGCTTTTCCACTTATTTGTTTCCATTCCCCTCGTTCCAAATGTTTAATTGCGTTTCTTAAGAAATTTATTGTATTTTTTATTCATTTCATTCTACGGGTATATAATTCTGTAGCTAAAATTAAGATATGGAATTTCGTTTTCGAAAATAAATTTATAAAAGTCTTCCATTCATATGTAGGCTCACCAGCAACTAGAGCTGAAATCGCTTAATACTGGTAGTTTGACTCAAATCCCGTTAAACTGGTTGCATGGGAGTTTCAGTGCTTCTCCATCTGAAGCGTGAATAAGAGCCATTTTATGTTAAAATATCCATGGAAAAATGCATTTTAGGTAGATAACTGTTACGTGGTTTGGTATTTTCAAAATAATGCTAATCTCATACGCGTGTTCCATAACAACTACATGTCGTTATACAGTTAGTCAGCGCTTACTCTAACAAAAACTCTGTGATATATTTAAACAAAACATTCATGAAACTATATTCATGAAATCTAAGGACAAAAGAAAAAACATGATTAAATCAAAATTATCAGTACAACGTATTTTATTCAGAAAAATATTTCATTACAGTTGCAAAAGAATTGTTAGAATTCTTAAATACATGTTATATTTGGCATGTTTTCAGATTTCAGTTCATCATTTTTTCTTCTGTCTTGAATCAAAAGGAATGCCGCCTGCATTGTTCACAGTAGAATGAATTCAAGTATCTCATAATTCTGTGGAAACTTTGATTGTAACACGAATTGCTAATAAAAGAAGGTTTATTTGGTATAGCTAATTCATTATGGTTGTACAACGTAGAGTTTATACCGTTAAATAGGATTTTATTTTAAATTGGAATAGGATAAGGGCGTGGAAATCTCTGTGTCTAAATAAATTGCTATTAATTCTCCTTTGTATACCGGTTTTTGAAGCTGCTTCTGTATTGCAGCTAAATTGAAAGAATTCAGATAATTTTAGTTTAAAGGAAATGGAGGGTTTGAATTGGGGAGGGAATATGTATCATTCACATCAAAGTTTCGGTTTGCAGAAAGGCGATGAGCAAAGGAATTAATTTGATTGAGATATTGGTAATTATTGGTAATAATAACTTAATGTGATAATAATAATGTTATAATTCTGGTTTACATTTTAAAATGAAAGAACTGAACCAACTGTGGTATTTTTATCACCATTATGATCTCCAGCTTCACCTCGAGAAAAAGTGGATTCAGTTGTCAGTTTTCCTTGTCAACAATTAAGTTTATTCTTAGCTTTACAGCATGATACTATGAAATGAATTAACCACTCTGTTTTCACACCCATTACTATTTATTATTAATTATTGGTAATAATAACTTAATGTGATAATAATAATGTTATAATTCTGGTTTACATTTTAAAATGAAAGAACTGAACCAACTCTGGTATTTTTATCACCATTATGATCTCCAGCTTCACCTCGAGAAAAAGTGGATTCAGTTGTCAGTTTTCCTTGTCAACAATTAAGTTTATGCTTAGCTTTACAGCATGATACGATGAAATGAATCAACCACTCTGTTTTCACACCCATTACTATTTCCACCTTCCTTTTTAGAAAAAAAATGGATGTGGAATAGATTTATGCATTTGAAATATAAGTTGGTGCTTCGTTTCATAAGTTAAGCTGAAAATACTAATTAATATCTGTGATTTTAAAACCATATTTATCACTTTTGCCTTGAGAAAAAGTTGAATTCGGAAAAGGCTTTTGATATTCGCTATTTAAGTTAGTATTTTGGTTTACAACCTAAGGAAACGAAACAATTTATGTATTTTCAAAACCATTAACATCTCCAACTTTACCTTCAGAATAAAAGACATTTGGAAGAAGTTACCTGCCTTGGTTAAATTAATTTTTTCTTGAGTAAGGCTGGGGAATCCATCAATTCTTGTATTTTGATAACCATTGTTATTCCAACCGTCTTATCAAGAATAAAGTGGATTTGGAGTAGGTTTCTGATATTCATTATTTAATTTCATGTTTTGACTTATAGTGTGAGGCTGAAAAAAATGAAATCTGTTCGGATAACCTTTATTATTCAAACTTCCTCCTTAAAAATAGGCTGGAATTGGAATAAATAAATTCCTGGTATTCATCATTTAAATTAATGTTTTGATGTGTGTTTTGATAACCGTTATTATTTCAATCTTCGTTTTGAGAATAAGGAGAATTTTGTAAAGGTTCCTGATATTCATTATTTAAATTAGTGTTTTGATTTATAGCATAAAGCTGAGGAAACGTATTATCACCTGCGGTTTGATATCCGTTATTATCCCAACGATCTTCTTGAGAATAAGGTGGATATTGGACGGCTTCCTGGTACTTATTATATAAGTCAATGTTTTGATTTACAGCATCCGGCTGAAAAAATGAATCACTGTCTGTGTTTTGATAAACTTTATTATTCAAACTTTCATCTTGAGGATAAGGTGGATTCAGAATAGGTTCCTGATATTCATTATTTAAATTAGAGTTTCGATTTACAGAGTATGGCTGAGGAAAGGAATCAATCCCCTTTTCTTGATACTCGTTATTATTAAAAGCGTCTTTGAATATGGTGGGTTTAGGATAAGTTTGGGAATATGGGGGTTTAGGATAAGTTTAAGAATATGGGGGCTTACGATAGGTTCGAGAATATGGTGGGTTTAGGATAGGTTCCTGATATTCATTATTTAGTTTAGAGATTTGATTTACAGCGTAAGGCTGAGGAAACAAATCACTCCTTGTGTTATCATAACCTTCATTATTAAAACTTTCTCCTTGAGGATAAGATGGATTCAGAATAGGTTTCTGATAATCGTTATTTAAATTAGTGTTTTGATTTACAGCGTATGGCTGAGGAAAGGAATCAATCCCCGTGTCTTGATACCCGTTATTATCAAAAGCGTCTTTGAATATGGGGGTTTATAATAAGTTTTAGAATATGGGGGTTCAAGATAGGTTCGAGAATATGGTGAGTTTAAGATACGTTCCTGATATTCATTATTTAGTTTAGAGATTTGACTGTAAGGCTGAGGAAACAAATCAGTCCTTGTGTTATTATAACCTTCATTATTAAAACTTTTTCCTTGAGAATAAGATGGATTTGGAATAGGTTCCTGATATTCATTATTTAGTTTAGTGTTTTGGTTTACAGTGTATGAGTGAGGAAACGAATCAATTTCTGCATTTTGACTCCCGTTATTACTCCAGCCGTCTACTTGCGAATAAGATGGGTCTAGGATAGGTTCATGATATTCATCATTTAGTTTAGCGTTTTGATTTATAGCGTAAATCTGAGGAAATGAATCAATCCCTATTTTTTGATACACGTTATTATTCCATCCGTCTTCTTGAGAAAAAGGTAGGTTTCGGATAGGTTCCAGATAGTCATAATTTAGTTTAGTGTTTTGATTTATAGAGTAAGGCTGAGGAAATGAATCAATCCCTGTCTTTTGAAACGCGTTATTATTCCGACCGTCTTCTTGAGAATAGAGCGGGTTTAGGATAGGTTCCTGATATTTATTATTTAGTACAGTGTCTTCATTTATAGTATAAGCCTGAGGAAACGAAACAGTCTCTACTTTCTTATAACCGTTACTACTCCAGCTACCTTCTTGAGAATTAGGTGGGCTTAGGACAGGTACCTGATATTCGTTATTTAGTTTAGTGTTTCGGTTTACAGCGTAAGGCTGCGGAAACGAATTAGTCCCTATGTTTTGATTACCTTTATTATTCAAACTTTCTCCTTGAGAATGGGGTGAATTCGGAATATGTTCCTGATATTCATTATTTAGTACAGTGTCTTCATTTATAGTGTAAGCCTGAGGAAAAGAATCAATCTCTACATTCTGATAACCGTTACTATTCCAGCTATCTTCTTGAGAAATAGGTGGGTTTAGGACAGATACCTGATATTTATTATTTAGTTTAGTGTTTATATTTATAGCGTAAGGATGAGGAAATGAATCAGTCTCTGTGTTTTCATGATCTTTATTATTTAAACTTTCTCCTTGCGAATGAACTAAATTTGGAATGGTTTTCTGATATTCATTATTTAATACAGTTTTTTTCATTTATAGCGTAAGCCTTAGGAAACGAGTCAATCTCTGCATTTTGATAACCGTTATTACTCCAACTATTTTCTTGAGAATAAGGTGGGTTTAGGACAGGTACCTGATATTCATTATTTAGTTTAGTGTTTTGGTTTATAGCGTAAGACTGATGATACGGATCAATCTCTATATTTTGATACCTGTTATTATTCCATCCGTCTTCTTGAGAATAAAGTGGATTTGGAATAGATTTTTGATATTCAATACTTAATTTAGTTTTTCGATTTACAATGTATGGCTGAGGAAACGAGTCAATCCCCCTATTTTTATAACCATTATTATTCCAGCCTTCTCCTTGAGATAAGGGTGCGTCTCGAGAGTAAGGTGGATTTGAAATTGGTTCATGATATTGACTTTTTAAGATACTGTTTTGATTTATGGCATGATACTGAGGAAACGAATCAACCACTGTATTTTGATGATCGTAATTAAGCCTACTTTCGGTTCGAGAAAAAGGTACATTCTGAATGATTTTCTCGCATTCATTATCTAAGTTAATGTTTTGATTTACAGGATAAAGTTGAGAAAAAATATTGTGCCCTATGTTTTGAGAACCGCTTTTATTTTCTGCTTTGCCTTGAGAAAGAGATGGTTTTGAAGTTGATTGTATATGTCCATTTTTTACGTTCGTGTTTTGTTTTCCATTGTAAGACTGAAAAAACGAATTAACTCCGATATTTTCATAGTTATTATTAGTTTCGTCTGCTGAATCTGATATAGTATTTTGACTTTTAACTAAAGATTCTGAATCACCTTGAGAAACAAATAAATTAAGTATGGTTGAGTGGTTTTTATTTTTAAAATTAGTATTTTTATTTACAGTGAGATTCTCAGAAAGCAGTTTACCCTGTTCGTTTTTTTCATCATTGTTGTTTGAAATGTTTTCATCTAATATAACGGTTTCGGGAATTTTATTTTTAACTAAATAGGGAAAAATTTTGTTGTTTTGATATACATCCGAATTTTGAGACACTGTTACAATCTTTACTCTATTATCGCTTGCACGTTTTAGGCTAGCTGTGATAGCAGTTGATGCGAAGGATGATGCATCTGATTTATTCACATTACTTTCGAACTTTATATCGTCTGTTTCAGGATTAGAAATAACAATAAATTCTTCACTCTGATCATTATAATTATAATAATCTGGATTATAATAATTTAAGTCCCAGTTACAGTCATATTTTAAGTCACCGCAATAATAATCGCTGTAGTAATAAGCACAGCAATAATAATTGTAATAACAGTCATCATAATTGTATTCCGAGCCATCATAGTAGTAATCTAGTACGTTATACAGGTATTCTAAGCAATTGTTATAATAGTCGTCGTAGTAGGAGCCATTGTAATAATAGTCATCGCAATCGTCTTCTGATAGCTGACATATGGCTGCTAAGCACTATATGATAAAAGAAAAATGAAGATTAAAATCAAATTGCTCAAAAATAAGAAGATACATTTAAACATACTTTTTATTTTTACCTTATTTAATACTTCTGTTTATCACATTTTTCTGTTTACGTAATGAGAAAATTCAATGAAATAATACATCCTTAGAATTTCATTGCATTTTTCCATTGGTTGAAAATAAATTATCTGTTCAGTTGTGGGAAAATAGTGTTTTCTCCAAATCTTATAGTAATTAAAATATCCGTTTTTGGCAATTATACTGATTTGTATTAAAATTTTCATTATTCTTTTGAACTAAATTAAATTTATTATGGAATTAGATAGTTTTCCTGATATTCGTTATTGCTAATATAATTTGTTAGGAAAAGAAATATAAGATATTCTACATTTATTTAAACTTTCGTGATATTTTTATTATTGATGTATCCCCAATGTGTGTTTCCTTAAAATAACAGTAATTAATTTTTCATTTTGTCCGGAAACTTATCTGCAGTTTTCAGAATTTCTCAATATTCTCCGAAAGAAGAGTTAAAATTACAAAGCCTAGACTTTATTCCTTAAAAAGACTACTACATCATCTTATCGTTCTGTCGAAATGAATTTTAAGTAACAAATGTTCCATTTCATTTTCTTGATTAAGATGTTTAGCAATAAACTAGCTCTATAACATGTACACTGCACAAAAAAAAGGGGGAGGACAGTTCTATATCTCCCGTTCTACTGGGCCGATTGACAAAATTCAAATTGCGTTTTTCATGTCTCGAAAGCGCGACTTATGATATATATTATATTTATATATAGCACTGTTCTAACATAGGTATTTTGACACAAAATCGGACATTTTCTGAAATAACATACCAATTTTTTTCACATTTCGATTCTGCCACTCAAATTATGCCTAGATATTAAATTTTGAAATATTTGGTGCTAAATATATGGAGAAATTCAAAAATTCATGTTGGCGAAATTTTTTCAGGTTGGCCAAGAATAATTCACTTGGCGAACTTCTTAATATATGGCAAACAAGTTTCCTTTCCCTTCCACTATGCCGGAGCGGAAAAAAAAAAGACACCTCGTTCCTACCTTTTTACATTGTGTATTAGCGGGAAAAAAATTCACATCGTTTCTACTTCCAAATAATTTTAGCAAAGTGTTTAAACCACATCTAATGTTTTATCGCACTCAACAAGTATGCGAAATTTCAAAACGCGCCAATACATAAATTCACGTATATCTTCGGAAATTTTGAATAAGAAATTGTAATTTTTTGCAGATATGCTTGAATAGTCTACTTTAAGATGATGGTAAAAATTTATAATTAATTTGAGAATTAAAATTATTTAAAAACACAAAATTAAAAAACAAATCATGAAAAATGATTGAATTTTATTGGAATGAATTGAATTTCGAAATGTAAAGGAAGAATCATAAACTTAAAAAAAAGAGAGCTAAAATATACCAAACTCAATTAACATTGAGGAGCTAAAATTTTGAGAGCTAACTTTTTAAAAAGCACTCGTGCAATTTAAAAAAAACTTAACAGTTTGGGGTATTTTAAGTCGTAGAATCGAAATATGGAAAAACATTTGTATATGTTATTTTAGAAAAGGTCCGACTTTGTGTCGAAATACCTATAATAGAACAATGCTATATATAAATCAAATACATATCCTAAGTCGCGCTTTCGAGACATGAAAAACGCAAGTTGAATTTCGTCAATCGACCCAGTAGAACGGGAAACATAGAACTGTCCCCCTCCCCACTTTTTTTCTCTTTTTTTCGCAGTGTACATTATAAGCGGAGTAATAGCAGACCAGCGTAAAACTACTTGAATCATCCAAACTTCTCCTTCTATGATAACAGGTCAGCGGCAGTACAACGCAAGTAAGAGAAAAAAGTATATTTCTAATAAAGTCCATGGTAATTATACTCTGATGCCACTGGAAAGAAATGGGAAGAAATGTCCCCGGTCGACAAGTTTTCATTCTAAAATGTGGATTTGATTTTTGATGTATTAATGTTTTAGAGAAAGAGAATGAATTAATATAGATTAGAAGATTTGGCAATTAACAAATGTCTCAAAATAGCTATGACTTGATTAAAATATTTACCATCTGATTAAAATTCTGCTGTTAAAAATAGAATTATTCCCCCCTCTCCCCACCTTTTTTTTTTTTTTTTTTTTTTATTTTTATAATGATATTTGTAAAGAGAAACGCATCGATACTGTTGCATTTATATAACTTTCATACTGTTAAACTTGAAAGAAAACTGAATAGCTATATTTATATGTTAAAAACACACGTAACATTATTAATGCGCTTATCCGAACCCTAGATTTTTTGCATTTTGAAAGTATTCTCTTAAATAAAAAAAAAGTACATTGCAATGCAATCGATAATTGACTCAAGAAACGCAAAAATTATATCAGGATTTTATTTTGAATATTTTGAAGTGATTTAATTAAAAATTTGTGCTTAAAATATTTTCTTCGGCATATGAAGTTAAACATACAAAAAATATTCTGTTGTCCATAATTCTTAAAGTCCTGTAAAATTTAAGCTACTGAAAGACATTAAAGCACACCCTCAAAAATGAATTGCATACATTTTAAACATTTGAAGAAAAATTGATGAAGCTCAGACATCTCATTTTGTGTTTCTACAATATTTGTTAGCTGATGCATTTTAAATCTTACTTTATCATCTGATGCTATAATTTTAATTGTACGTTTGTTTCTTTGGAAGTATTTTCCACTTGACATCTGATAACAGAATTAAGCATTATTTATATTATTAACTAGGCATTCTAAATCTGAATTTCTTGAAAAGAGTGTAAATTAATGTCAGTTTTTTAGCTATATATGATAAATAAGAATTCTTGTTTCCCTACGCATAAATAATATCTAAAAGATTTATCAGAAAAAATATTTAAAGCACGCTGCTGAAGATTTTGTAAATCAGTTTGTAAGAAAGAAACGTATTGAAAAAATATATTAATTACTTTCTGAATTTTACAGCAGATTTAACTTTGCACGCTTTTTTAATGAATTGATAAGGTTGTGATAATTAAAGACAATTTTTAATTTGGAAACTATGAATGGAAGATTCCTGATTTAGGAATTTTCTTGTGGATTTTGTATTTAATATTACAGAAATTTAGGAACGTACTTGCAAAGGGGAGAAACAGATTGAAAAAGCCCTCTTTTCTTGATGCTGAGTCTCTTGATAACAGTGGCATTTTATTATGCATAAGACTGCTATGAAATTTGAATATAAGCTACAGAAATTCAGTAGCAAGTAATAGCAGACCAGCGTAAAACTACTTGAATCATCCAAATTTCTCCTTCTATGATAACAGGTCAGCGGCAGTACAACGCAAGTAAGAGAAAAAGTATATTCAATAAAGCCATGGTATGTATACTCTGGCCCTGGAAAGCAGGGAGAAAGTCCCCGTTCGACAAGTTTTATTCTAAATGTGGATTTGATTTGTGTATTAATGTTAGAGAAAGAGAAGAATAATATAGATTAGCAGCTTGGCAATTAACAATGTCTCAAATAGCTATGACTTGATTAAATATTTACCATCTGCTTAAATTCTGCTGTTAAAATAGCTTATTCCCCCCCTCTCCCCACCTTTTTTTTTTATTTTTTTTATTTTTTATAATGATATTGTCCGAGACCGCATCGATACTGTTGCATTTTATAACTTCTCTGTTAAACTTGAAAGAAAACTGATGGCTATATTTATATGTTAAAAATACAGTAACATTATTAATGCGCTTATCCGAACCCTGATTTTTGCTTTGCCTATTCTCTTTAAATAAAAAAAAAGTACATTGCAATGCAATCGATTAATTGACTCAAATAACGATAATGGACTCAGTACGGCTTCGATTACTTTGGAGGCCCACCAGCGGCCGAGCGGAAGTCGCTGAACACTGGTAGTTCGGTCCGAGGTTCGGAATCCGCGAACGGGCTGGCTGCATGGGTTGTTTTCATGGTTTTCCCATGTGTAACGTGTACGAGCCAGTTTCCCTTAGAAAGTCCTCCACGAAAGGCATCCTTCCTCTTAGGCAGATAGCCCTAGTGTGCTTTGCCATAATTAAATACACCACCACCGATTACTTTTGGTTATCAAAGAAATGATTTTTGTGTGTCATTAATTAATGAAATTCTTGTAGATCTTGAAAAGAAAATAAATTGATCCCATAGAAGCAGATAATTAAAATAATGAATACTTCAGATAATTCATATGGTGAGAAAACATGGGAGACAAAAAAAGTGAATTTAAAAAATACTAGTAAAAAATGTAATCTTTGATGAATTGAAAAATATTTAAAACTCAATATGCACAAGCAAAGCAATGTGCAGGTATATTCAGTAGAAACGAATAATGGTATTTTGTTATACATTGATTTATCAGGTGAATATTTGTATATAAATCTATAGATAAAACTTAACATATGTATTAATTTGCAGAATTTTATATTTCATAACAGATTGTTGAAAGAAAGAGGACGATATTTTCTAAACTTAAAAAATTTTATATATTTAGAACTAATTAAAGTCAAACAATAAACAGTTATCGGAGAGGTCAACAGCAAGAATCAGGATAATATTTGTAAATTTTGCAGGACTAGTTTCGATGGTTTTCGTTTGGATATAAGGGAACTGATATCAGTTTTTCTTATGTGCGTGCTCATTATGGATTCTATGGAAATGAAAGAGCTGATTTCTTAGCTAAAGACGCCTTAAATTTACCCATAGATATCAATATCATTCCAAAGAGCTATTGAAAATGCTTTCATAAGAAGAAACTTTAGTCTCAGTGGAATGATAATATATTTCATCTTATACTGCTGATTGCACAAAAAAGATCTTTCCCTCTGTTTATTATAGACTGCAAAAAAAAACTTACTTCAAGATGTGGAACATTTGAATTTTTTCATGTCCTACCTTTGATGGCCCTAGATTATACTTGCAGAAT